ACCCTCACTAAAGGTACCTCTACCATTAAAGAGGGTTTCACCTGTGTACGCCGTAATGTAATATATGCCGTTGTGTGTCGTAGATGCCAATCTAGTTACATAGGTGAAACAGTGAGAAGAAAGGCTGATAGGTTTACTGAACATCTCCGGATAATTGAGCCATGTAAACCTTCCGCAGTCTCTTCTCTTTTCAACAGAAAAGAACATAAGGGTGTATTGGATGTAACCATTATGGCACTGCTTTCATGCAGTAACACACCAGAGAGGGTTAAAATGGAAAATAAATTTATTCAGCTTTGGCATCAAATCTCCAAATGGTATTAATCAAATAATATCCTACTGATGTTTCTCTGTTTCCCTATATTTCATCTATTTTCTTATTGCTGTGTGTTTATGTATCTCTGGATATTCTGGTCCATTAATATTGTGGACCTCAATTTTCACATTTATATTCTCACGCTTCCTGTGTTCCAAATTCGGGCGACACTAAGGGATATTTCTTGAGTTGTTTACTGTGCTCTGTTCTTTGTTATATGTTCATTTCTTCTGTGCGCTGAAGAAGGCTTTATGCCGAAACGTCCATATCTTTTTGTCCTGTTCTCTAATTCAAGCTTACACATACCTTGTTTTGCGATTAAATAAACCACATCTTACCGCTCACACTGACTCTTCGTGCATGTGTTTACGTATTCAACTTAGAAGATATCTAACGGCATGTTTTCTAACAAAAATGATCCTTCTCTGGTCAAAGCAATAAGAACGTTTTCGATCTAACATCAAATGATTAAACGTCCATTTAAAATCGCTGGGTGCTACGATTCCATATGTTTGCTGTTGAAACAAATAACAGTTGTTCATTATTACAAAAAGTTATTGGAATTAATTTACCATTACTTAATATTATAATTTTTTTAATTAAATTTTTTTTCTAAATGAGATACTTTAATATATTATTTATTATTAAAAAAGAAAGACATGCAAATGCCATATGGAATAGCAGTATTAAATATTCAGACGAATTATTTCAGTTTACTATAGCAAACGTTAGGTCGGTCAGCTGATGTACATAAACAATGGAGACTGATATATAATTAGTCGGGTGTTTTTGGAATAAACAGAGAGACTGAGACACAGAACATGGAATCAGAAATCACAGTATCGTAGTCTGCTATATTTTACACTGCTGTGTGAACAATGAACACGTTTGCGTAGGTACAGATAGTCTTCATAAAGACGCTTGTAAATTTTTTTTTAACTCAGTGACAATGCAGAATTATTATTCTTAATAAAAATTATTGAGTAAGAATGAAAAAAGATATACATTTGTAAATCAAAATAATTTATAAAAGTCCAAGCATAAACTTATTCTTAGGAAGAAAAATGTATTGAAAAGACAGGACCAGCTCAGAATTGTCCAAATACTTTATCCATGGAAGAGATCACTAAAAAATCGGTGGTAAGTTATCTTTCAATCAATTTATTAAAAAAATAGTTGTATGAAATGAACTGCTTTTAGTAAAGGTATATTTTGTTATTATTGAAATAATTAAAAATGTTATATAACGGGACATTTATCTGAGACATTACCACCATATTAAAAGTTTTGTTTTTGTCCGTTGACCCTTAATTCATTTTTTTTTCTTATACGAGCTTGTAAAAAAAACTAAATTACGTATACGCTCCAACAACATTTATTCGAATGCGATAAAATTTTGGTGATATTATGTGCGCATGCCCGCATAATTTCTTAAATTATTACAACTTAAAATATTCAGTATTAAGCCAGGGGCCCTGTGTTCTTTTTTTTCTAATATGAGCTATATAAATATAAATTCAAACAGTATACGCTCCCACGACATTTAAGCGATTGTGATAAAACTGAGTTGAATTTTAGCCCACAAGCAAACGCATGCTTCTAAGCTATTATAACAATTTTAAATATTCCTTTTTGGGCATTCGGCCCAAAATTCGTTAATCTTGCTAATGCAAGCTGTATTAAAAAAAAATGTTTCGCATGCGCTCCTGAAACATTTATTAGAATCCGATAACACTTTACAGCGATGCTGTGCACACGCCCGCAAAGGCTTTTAAGTTATTTCAAAAATTTTAAAATATTCCTTTTTTAGCTAGGGTTCTATCTTCATTTCAACCTACATGAGCTATAAAAATATAATTTCAAACAGAGCTAATGCATGGCTGGATAGATTTTTAATCAAATACAAATAGTGACATAACATTTTGTGTGTGACATAATAAGTAGATTTCTGAAGTAATTCAACAATTCTACAATATTCCGTTTGTGGCCGGGGGCCTTAAGTTTTTTTTCTAGCCATATATTATCTATATAATTATTTTATGTATTCCTATACCATTCAACCGATTGTGATCAAACGTTGGTGCTTTTATATGCGAATTCAAAAAAAATATTTCTAAATTAGAACAACACTTTACAATATTCCGTTTGGGCCAGTGGCCCTAATTTCGTTTTTTCATATAAGAGTTTCATAAGTATAATTTCCAACAGAGCTATTGCATAGCAGGATTTAATTTAATCAAATACAGAGAGCGACATATCAGTTTGTAAGTTACATAGTAAGTAGGTTCTGAATTAGTACAACCATTTTTCCATATCCATTTTTGGGTTTGAGGCCCTAAATTCTAGATTATTTACAATATTAGTGCTATGAAAATATAATTTACGCGTGCGTCCATTTACCATTGATCCGATTACGATAAAAATTGACGAGTTGTTGTGCGCATGCCCGCACAGGTTTCTAATTTTACGCTGGAATATTTTATTTATAAAATAATGTAATTTCTGTACACCTGGTAATCTATTGCCAACAATAAACGTACCTTTTTTGGAAAATTTCACGTGTAAAGATGGGATATCCTAACATGTGAAAATTATTAACGTTGGGAATATCGTAAATTAATTGAATCAAATAAAAACAGCAATATTTCATTTTGTGTATAAAGTAAAAAGTGGTGTTAATTGTGAAATTAAAATTGCCGCCATTTAACTTCTAATAACAGATATGATATGGATTTGTAATGTTTGTAACAAAGCAATACTTGCGCTGTCAAATCAATCAATGGTGCTACCCAAACGAAGAGCGTTTGGTTTTTCTACACGTCAGGCACGAAATAAAAGTCATCACGTGCTTCTTAAAAAAAGTCGAGCAACGAGAATCAAGGCTGAAAACCACTCGAGTACGCAATGCTAATATCTGTTCTTTTAAAAAATTCGAGCAAATGGAAGCAAGACTAGAAACAGATAGAAATCACACTGCTCGATCCAGACGAACAGTCCACGCTGAATTAAATCTTAGTGCATTCCATTACGATGCTAATTATGATTACAGTCTTCATACAAGTGTGGCTATTTGAAAATGTATTAATTATCCATGCATCGCAATGCTCTCAAATTTAAGATTGAACCAGCGGGATTGAGCTGCGCCGGTATAAAATTGAAATTGTTAGAATTACATTCCCCACACGAACCATTATCAACCTTGGTATAATGTGACACAAGCCAAACGAAACATTTCTTGGCAAACATATGTGTAACATGTACGTTACGTCCGAGCTCTCACTTGCAGGCGTTAATTTACAACTATCTCTTCCACACATTCGTAACATGGAAGTCCTTGGTAAACACAAATGATTTTAATACAGCAGCTGAACATATGTACACTTTTTACATAAGAAACATGTCAATGAAAATACACTCCAGCCATCTTTCCTTGCTCGTACCTACACACCCTCTTGTTCTCTATCACGTGATCTCTTTTTTTTTAAACGAATCATTCTTCTCACGTGACATTCACCCCCCTTCTTCAAAAAAAAATGTTTTATTCTTAAAACATTTTAGGTTATAATACAAAAAAATTAAACTTAATTAAGATATTTATTGCAATTTAACAATTCTTGTTTTGCAAAAATGAAATGCTTAAAATATTTAGATATAGAAATTCAGAAAGAAAAATCTGCAGAACTTCAACAGTCTGTACTGAAAATGAAACAAACTGACATTTTACCGCATCTGTAATGTTGTGTAATTCAAATAACTTGTGTCAAGGTCATGAAATCATGAGGTAGTGTGTGTGTGTTGATTTGAGGACGAATGCGGATTGTGAACTAATTTCATGTCACGGGCGAATGACTGTGGAGTGAACGAGGCATGATATTTGGGGTATAAAGGGTTCACAGACGTGAGAGTGAGGGGAGAATAATTATTATGTCACGGGGGATTACGTTCACAGAGGTTAGACGAGAGATAGGACTCGCTACAGCGAGACGTCTTTCTTTTGGGAGATAGTGGATTTTGTCATGATATGTTTTGCTGATTGGAATATTGCCATATCCGTTGGATTCATGTTCACTAAACTATGAGACGCATTAATCTAGTAATGCGATCAGCAAATAAATGTCTTATGTACCTTGAAGCGTATTGTTTTGATGAACCAAACTAGTCTGTTGTGTGACAAGATTTACAAGACATGTAAACAAAAGCGAGAATCATAAACCTAACAACGAGCCAAATATTCAACAACTGGAATATTTGACATGAGGGCATAACACATCAAATTAAATATGGCATATGATAGATCTAAAGAAATGTTGTTGCCTATCATTTCTTTTGTAAATATGAATACTAAGACAGTTCGTTTTTCTTTTTTCTTTTACAGAATGTCTGTATTTGGTGTCATTCTGCTTAGAATGTCTGCAAGAACATTGTCTTTTCCTTTAACAGATTTTATGTTAAATTTGTAATCTGCTAATAGCATTGCCCAACGGTTGACTTTTTCGTTGCTTTCCTTCTTCTTGTTAAATGCTACTAATGGTTTGTGGTCTGTGAGTAGAGTGAATGCTTTACCTAGCAGGTATTTTTGCAGTTTCTGTAGAGCCCATACTATGGCAAGACATTCTCTCTCTATCGTGCTATAGTTCTGTTCAGTTTTTGTCAAATTCCTGCTCAGATATTGTACTGGATGAAGAACACCATCATGCTCTTGCATAAGGCAGGCTCCTAATGCAATACATGATGCATCAGTTGAATCAATGAAAGGTTTGTCACATTGGGGTGTGACTAAGATGGGTTTCTTTCTAAATGCTTGTTTAATTTTTTCTAATGCCTTGAAGCAATCTTCCGAAAATTGAAATCTTCTAACATCTGTGTGTTTTGTGATTTCTGTCAGTGGGTGAACAATCTCAGCATAGTTTTCAATAAATGGTCTGTAGAAATTGCATAATCCCAGCAGGGCTTGAACTTGCTTTTTTGATTTTGGGATTGACAAATTGAATATCTTATTTTCATTCTCTGTAGTGGGAGTGACTTTACCTCCTCCTATTCTGTATCCCAGAAAATCAATGGATTTCTTTCCAATGTTTATTTTCTCAGGTGAGATTGTAACATTATGTTCCTTGAGTCTATTTAGTACAGCTTCAAGTGTATGTATGTGCGTTTCCCAATCTTTAGTATGGATGCATATGTCGTCGACATAATGTACAACATTTGGGATTCCTTGTAACATCACTTTCATAAATCTACTAAAAGTAGCTGTACTGTTGACTAATCCGAATGGCATCACTAACCATTCATACACTTCATCCATGGCTATAAATGCAGTGTATTTGACAGAGGTAGGATCCATGTTTATTTGCCAAAAACCTCTGTTTAAATCAAATGTAGTGAATATTTTGGAATTACCAATTCTTTCTACAATATCTCTTGGATCTCCTATGGGTTCGTGGTCTAATTTTGTGATATTGTTAAGTTGTCTGTAATCACAGCATAGACGAATTTTTTCATTCTTCTTCTTGACTATCACAGTTGGTGAGGTATAGTTAGCTTCAACTGCTTTTCTGATTTTGTTGTCTTTGAGAAGATAGTCAATTTCTTTTTTTACAGTGTCTCTATAAGCCATTGGAATAGGGTATACCTTAGTTTTGAATGGCTCATGATCTAGCAGTTGTATTTTAGGCGTGGGTTCAGATCCCACTTCTGACACCAAAATGTAACATGTACGTTACGTCCGAGCTCTCACTTGCAGGCGTTAATTTACAACTATCTCTTCCACACATTCATAACATGGAAGTCCTTGGTAAACACAAATGATTTTAATACAGCAGCTGAACATATGTACACTTTTTACATAAGAAACATGTCAATGAAAATACACTCCAGCCATCTTTGCTTGCTTGTACCTACACACCCTCTTGTTCTCTATCACGTGATCTCTTTTTTTAAACGAATCATTCTTCTCACGTGACAATATGCAAGTGCAAAAATGTAAAAAAAAACATTTTTTAAGAGTGCTATAAAGATTAAATTTCCTGAAATCTGCTATCATTACTGAAGGAGAATTATTTTCATTAATAATTAATATTCAGTAAGAATGAAAAATTTGTTAATGTGTAAATCAAAATAAATTTTAAAAGTCAATGCTTAATCTTATTCTTAGGAGGCAAAATGTATTGAAAAGAAAGAACCATCTCTTTGTTCTCCAAATCTATATATATAAAAATGAATGTTTGTATGTCTGTCTGTATGTCTCGTATGCGCTCCTACACCATTTATGCGATTGCGACAAAACTTTAAACAATTGTTTTCCACATAACCGGCCATTTAACTAAGACATTAAAAATCTTATCAAGTGTTCCCTTCCTAGCCGTTGGCCCTTAATTCGTTTTTTTCTAATATGAGCTTTGTAAAAAATATTTTCCACATGCGCTCCTACGCCATTTATCCGATTCATATAAAACTTTGGTAAAATGTTGCGAGCATGTTCATAAACATTTCTAAAATATTACAATTGTTTTAAAATATTCAGTTTTGAGCCAGGGGCTTCATATTCGCTTTTCCTTATATGAGCTATATAAATATATTTTCAAACCGTATGCGCTCCTACACCAATCATGCGATTGCTACAAAACATAATGAGTTGTTGTCCATGCGCAAATGCATTTTACTGTATTATTTAAACACTTTAAAAAATATTCCATTTTCGGCCGTTGGCCCTTAATTCGTATTTTATCTGATATGAGTTCTGTAAAAAAAATTTCCATATGCGCTCCTACGCCATTTTTTCGATTGCAATAAAACTTAAAACTGTGGTGAGATGTTGCAAGTATTTCCATAAAGGTTTCTAAATTATTACAACCGTTTTAAAGTATTAAGTTTTGAGCCAGGGGCCTCATATTCGTTTTTCCTAATATGAGCTATATAAATATATTTTCAAACCGTATGCGCTCCTACACCAATCATGCGATTGCTACAAAACTATGACGGGTTTTTATCTATAAACATAACCATTCATTGACCCAAATTCTTATTTTTTCTTATATGCGCTTTGTAAAAAATAATTTTCTATGCGCTCCTATACCATTTTTTTGAATGCGATAAAAATTTAGTGAGATGTTGTTCTATCGCCCACAAAAATTCTTAAATTACTACAACCGTTTTGAAATATTCAGTGTTGAGCCAGGTGCCCTATGTTTGTTTCTTACAAGATGAGCTATATAAATATAATTTCAAACCGCATGCGCTCCTACATCATTCAAGCACTTGCGATAAAACTGAGGTGAATTGTTGTCCAAGAGCCAGAGCATTTTTCTAAGCCATTATAACTCTACTAAAATATTCCGTTTTTTTTGGCAATCGACCAAAATTCGTGTTTTTTTCCTTACATTAGGAGCTTTATAAAAAATAATTTCCGTATGCGCTCCTCTACATTATTACAATGCGATAAAATTTTAGAGAGATGTTGTGCGCGCGCCCGCCCGCAAAGGTTTCTTAAATGATTACAACCATTTTAAAATACTCCGTTTTTAGCCAGGGGTCCTATGTTCGTTTTTTCTATATAAGCTATACAAATATAATTTTAAGCTATACAACTATAATTTCAAACAGAGCTAAAGCATGAATGGATAGCTTTTTAATCAAATACAAATAGTGATATTTAATTGAGTGTGTGACATATTAAGTAGGTTTCTGAAGTAATACAACAATTCTAAAATATTCCATTTGTTGAGGGGGGTCCTAAATTCGTTTTCCATACTTCTATTATCTATATAATTATAGTATACATTTCTATACCATTCATTCGATTGTGATCAAACTGGGTCAAGTGAAATGCGCACTACCGAAAATGTTTCTAAATTAGAAAAAAACATTTTACAATATTCCGTTTGGATCAGTGACCCTAATTTGATATTTTCTTCTAAGAGCTTTGTAACTATAATTTCAACTAGAGCTATTGCATGTGTGGAAGTAGCTGAATCCGCCGGCAAATTTTTCAAATTTAGTACATCCATTGTACAATATTCCAATTAGGGCTGGGGACCCTAAGTTCAATTTATTTTCTTAAATGAGCTTCATCAATTAAATTTATAACGGAGATATCAACACTACCACCCTTGAACAAATGACACATTCGTAGTAAAGCAGAGAAAACACGTTTTTACATTTTTAGTGTAGAGAGTATTTTTGTTATGTGTATAAATAAGCTTGAATTTTTTGACGCATTTTAGAATAGGAAATGACATCGAAATCACGTTTTTTTTTCCAACTATTTCTTGAATAGAGTCTTATAATTTCGGAGTTGTTTTGTGTTATGTAAATACATTTTACACCAATCGATGGTTTCTCAAGTAATTAAATAACACTTTTGACAGCGTAGATATTGAACTATGGTCATTTTTTACCGCTGGAATTTACGATTTATAAATTAATGAGAAGCTATACAACTGGAAATCTCCTGCCAACAATGAACGTACCTATTGTGAGAGGTTTTCATGTAAAAAAATGGGAGATCCTAACGTGTAAGAATTACATTCACCATCAAAACCATTATCATTGTTGTTATCAGGTGACAATAGCCAATCGAAACATTTCTTGGAAAACATACGCAAATGCAATTCATGTTTCCAAATGACATCGTTCGGTGCAACAAATATCGTGCGCGAGAATTACATGCCAACATTTAAAGTAAAGTGAAAGGCCAAATTTACCATCGTGTAGGATCTCTGATGCCAATGCCAAACACAGATCACAAATGTCTTCAAATGATTTCATGGGAAATACTGATGAGCAAATCGATCAACGTTGTCATATCAATACGGGCACTAAACGAGAAATCGTCGCTGCAATGCAAACGTTTTTTTTTGCAACACAACGAATTAATTCAAATGTATAGAGTTGCATTTGAAAAGATGCCGACTGATGAATACAAATTCATAGTTAGAGCAGACTAAACACCTGTCGGCCAACATGAAAGATAATACTATGCACCAACAATTGATGAAGTGGAGATCATTATAGTTGACAAAGAATTTAACTCAAGTGATATAATTTTCATCACAGAAGTGTTGATGTTCAGCGAGTCTCAGAAATTCATCGCACATATGTTTGATTGCAATATCCTATTTTATTTTGGCAACGAGAAGATGGATATCATTTTGACATCACATTGAGAAATTCGAATAAGAAAGACAGTGCCATGAAATACTATTCACATCGATTGATGATTCATGAGTTGGGAATGACCTCTCAGAATCGATCTACAAACAAACTTTTCGCTCTTGATTTGCAACGAGAAACGCACTTTGATATCGAAGCATTATGTACGGTACATTTTTTCAAATGAATCTTCCGAAATTGGTTCCATTGAAGTTACTATTTTAAATGGAAAATTTAAACTAGGTGATGTACTTTTGCCATTCACCCCAATGATTCCAACAGATATGCAATTTGAATTCAAACGCCTACAGTTTCCGATGCGACACGCGTCTACAATGACTATCTTCAAAGCTCAGGGACAATCGCTACAAGTTTGCGGACTAAATTTGGAAAACCCATGCTTCGCCCATGGACAGATGTATAAGGTCTGCTCTCGCGACGGAAAATCTTCTGATTTATTCGTGTATATACCAGATGGAAAAACAAGAAAAACTTTGAGTATTTAAAAGCTCTTGAAGAAACATAACATGCAAACACTTTCTTTCCTTGAGTGGAATTGTAACGCATGCCGGGTACTCGCTAGTACTTTATAAATGAAAGAGAACGCTAATCAACTGGTGTTAAGTTACATTTAAATCAATTTATTAGTATTAATATTGTTGTATGAAATGAAATGTTTATAAGAAAAGGTATATTTTGTTATTGTTAAAATATTTTTTTTTATAGAGTCTGGAAAATGTTCGTGCAACGCATTCTTTTTTTTTTAGTTGGATTTCAAAGAAATTACTACTACTTTTCATTTAGTAGAAATTCATATTTGAATAAAATGTATTTTTAACATAATATTTTTAGCTTTTTTAGCTTTTTTTTTATTTTTCTATTGAATATTGGACTTTTTAATCAATACGTTTATCTGTAAAATAATTTTATTACTCTATCTTTTAAATCTATAATTTATACAACGCATTGTTATTATTTTTAAAATTCAATTTCAATAGTTTTTTATATATTATTTTTTTATTGTTTTAAAATACCAAAAGTATTTTTAAAATGTTGCACTATTTTTTTTTTAAATGTATTAAATCACATTTAAAAAAGACTATATTGGCGTTTAATTTTTATTATAAAATTCTTTTGCCAAAAAAAGTTAAAGATTATTAAATTTAGAATATATTTTAATAAGCATTCTTTTGTTGATATGTACGAGACAATAAAATGATAAATAAAAATTAGTTTAACACATTATATTCATATTGTATTTAGGATTAATAAAAAGCAAAATGTAAAAAAAAGAAATTGATAATTATTCTATTTTATATGTTCAAGTTGTTTTATGAAATTTGTCGTTCACAGTAATTTACAAAGAAACACTTTTACATTAAAGTTATTTCCACAAACATAAAATACAGCAACACATTTTTATAGAAAAGGAAACTGTACGTTGGAATGATTTTTAACAAAATGTGTTAATTATAAAGATTTCTTTTTTAATCTTAGGACACAACAAATCTACAAGAAACAATACAAGAGGATGTGATAATATATCCTATGTCAGTAGAAGGCATTGAACGGCGTAATTTGGTAGGTTAACTTATCCAATCATTATCAGAAAAATGTTTGTGTATAAAACCTAATTTGCAAAAATACCACTAGTCTTTTGTTCAATATAATTTACAATTTTAAAATGACAGCACTATAAAAAATTGGGTTAATTTAAAAGATAAATATTTACATTCATTTAAAAGTGTTTTTTGTTTTTTTTTGTTTTTAGCTAAAATCATTGCTGATTAAATTATATCATTATTTAAAGAGAATTGTTTCCAATAATAAACATTATTCATTTAGAATTCAAAATGTGTAAATTATAATAATTTATGAACAGTCAATTTCTTAACTTTTTTTTAGGAAGCACAAGATATTGTAAACAAAGAAACAGCTCAGGAGTCTCCAGATACTTTATCCATTGTAAAGAATGCTAATAATTTGGTGGTAAGTTATCTTTAAATCAATTCATTAACAACATTTTTGTATGAAATGAAATGCTTATAGAAAAATTGTAATTTGTTATACAATACAAATTGCTAATACAATTGATAAGAACATCTAATATTAATCAAATGTCTTTTTGACATAATATTGTTTCCTTGGAATTTATTTTTTTTTAAATCAAAAGAGGCACTTTTTAATCAATACTTTTAACTGTAAAATGATTTTATTACTTTTTCTTTTAAATCCGTAATATACAAATAATGTTGAATTTCAAGTATGTTAGAAGAAAAAATTTGATTTTAACAAAAAAATACAGAAACTATTTTTAAAATGTTGAAATATTAAAAAAAAAACGTGTATTAAATTCAATAACAAATAAGATATCCGCTTTAAATTATGTTATAAAATATTTTGTCAAAGAGTGTTAAATAGCATTAATTAAAAAATATTTTAATAAGCATACTTTTGTTATTATGTAAGAGACGTTAAAATCTTAAAGAAAAATTAGCTTATGACATTTATATTGATATCGATATTTAGTATTAATAAATTTCAGAAAGTGAAAAAAAAAGAAATTGATACTTATTATATATTATTTGTTCAAAGTGTCACATAACATTTTCCCCCTTTTAGTAATTTAAAAAGAAAGAACCATTTTTACATTAAAGTGATTTTAGCACACACACAAAAATAGCAACACATTTGTTAAGGAAATGGCACTGTAGATTGGAATCCTTTTAAACAAAATGTGTTAATGATAAAAAATTACTTTGATCTAAGGACACACAAAATTTAAAAGAAGAAATACATGAGGATGTGATAAGATATCCTATGTCAGAAGAAGGCATTGAACAGCATAATTCGGTAGGTAAATTTTTAAGGTCAATATGAAATGTTTGTGTGTGTTTAAATTTGATTCCTAAATTAACATTAGTATTTTGTTTAATATAATATGCAATGTTAATATGACAGGGCTATAATAAATATTGGGATCATTAAAAAAAAAATATATTGCCTTTAATTTGTTGTTGTTTTAATTAAAATTATGTCTGATTAAATCCAATCATTACTGAACAAGAATTTTTTCCGATGATAAATATTTTTCAATGGGAATTAAAACGATGTTCATTTGTAAATAAAAATAAATTGTAAAACGTCAATGCTTAAACTTATTCTTAGGATTCAAAATGTATTGAAAAGAAAGAACCATGTCAGGGAGCGCCAAATTCTTTATCCATGAAAGAGAACGCTAAACAGTTGATGGTCAGTTTTTTTAAATCAATTTATTAACAAAACATTGTTGTTTAAAATGAAATGTTTATAGAAAAGGTATGTTTAATTATTGTTAAAATAAGTAAAATGTTATAGACTGTATAATTTTAGTGCAACACACATTTTAGGTGGATTTCAGACAAATCGCTGATACAAATGAAAAGAAAATCTAATCTTAATAAAATGTAATTTTAACATAATATTGTTAGCTTTGAGTTTATTTTTTCTATTGAATATTGGACTTTTTATTAATAATAAAAAAGGTAACCTACAGCTATGCTAAAACTATCGCACAATTAGTCTAATAAGCAATCCAAGCAAGGTCATGCTGAAGATCATATTGAATCGACTAAAACCATATGCCGACAGATTCATCGCTGCAAAACACGCGGGATTCAGACAAGGACGGGGCACTACTGAGCAGATTCTAAACCTCCGAATACTATTGGAGAAATATGTTCAACACCAACAAAATCTATACCACGTCTTTGTTGACTTCAAGAAAGCATTTGACAGGGTTTGGCATGCTGCTTTATGGGCGACCATGAGGCACTAAAACATTAACACAAACTAAACCAGCATGATATGCAACCTCTATGATAAGACCACCAGTGCAGTCTTCCTCAACAACAACATCGGAGAATGGTTCAAGACCACGGTTGGAATATGAAAAAGCTGCCTGCTCTCCCCCACCCTATTCAACATCTTCCTAGAGAGAATTATGTCAGATGCTCTGGAAGCGCATGAAGGGACAGTCAGCATTGGTGGCAGAACAATCACCAACCTACGCTTTGCGGACGACATAGACGTGCTGGCTGGAAACGAAGAGGAGCTAGCTGACCTGGTAAAGCGTCTCGATAAGACCTCGTCATCCTACGGCATGTTAATCAGTGCCGAAAAGACAAAACTGATGACAAATAATACCGCAGACAACACCACTGAAATTAAGGTAGGGGAAGAAAGATTAGAGACTGTCGGCCGCTTCAAATACCTAGGAGCAATAGTCTCAGAAGAAGGCCCAAATCCGCACTGATGTCCAGAATTGCGCAGAATACAACAGCACTAAAAACGCTCAAGAAAATATGGAATGACACAAATATAGCCCCCAGCACCAAAATCAGGCTGATGCGCTCATTAGCCCTCTCTATTTTCCTGTATGCCTGCGAATCCTGGACATTAACAGCATATCTTGAAATGAAAATAAAGGGGATGGAGATGAGATGCTTCAGAAGCATTTTTGGCATCTGTTATAGGGACCATATCTCCAATGAAACATTGAAAGAAAGTGTTCGTCAGGCAATACGGGAGTAAGATGACCTACTGGTGACTGTGAAAAACGCAAATTTAAATGGTACGGCCACGTAACAAGGAAACAAGGGCTTGACAAAGAAATATTGCAAGGCACCACAAGAGGAGGTAGAAGAAGAGGAAGACAAAGAAAAAGGTGGGAGAATAACATCAAAGAGTGGACAGGACTAACACTGGGCGATGCAGTGTGTAGTGCTGAAGACAGAGAGGAATGGAAGAGGATAGTTCACATGTCATCTGTGGCGCCCCAACGGTTCAAGGACTAAGAGAAACTATAATGAGGATGATGAGGATGAATAACATAAGATTTTGTAACAAGATTTTCTTACTCCATCTTTTAAATCTGTATTATATAAACAAATTGTTAAGACTTTTCATTAAATTTTAATTGTATTTTAGAAATTATTATTTATTTATTTTTTTTTTTAAATACAGAAAATATTTTTAAAATGTTGCACCATTTAAAAATAATAATTATAACCAATAAAAATAAAATATCCAGTTTAAATTATTATTAAATTATTTATTTTGTCAAAGAGAGTTAAATATTAATGATCATAAAATATTTTTTTAAAAAGCATTATTTGTTAGCATGTAAGAGACGTTAGAATGGTGAATGAAAATTAGTTTAACGCAATATATTCATATCAATATTAAGGATTAATAAGTTCAAAATGTAAAAAAAGAAAAGAAATTGATAATTATTCTATATTATATGTTCAAGTTCTTTTATGAATTTTGTCCTTTACAGTAATAAAAAAATACATAAGAGTTATTTTAGAACACAAAAAAACTGCAACACATTTTAAAAGAAATGACACTATACATTGGAATAGTTTTAAACACAATTTGTTAATAATAAAGATTTCTTTTTTTAATCTTAGGACACAACAAATCTACAAGAAACAATACCAGAGGATGTTATAATATATACTATGTCAGTAGAAGGCATTGAACGGCGTAATTCGGTAGGTTTAATTTTTAAATTTCCATTTTTTCTTTTTGCTAATATATCAAGTGTCACTCGAGTTTGTACTCGGAAAAAGTCTTGTAAAGATTTTTAAGCAATAAATAGTAAAAAAAACTTCGTTTCAATAATTATTAAACTTGAACTTGACTGGCGTACAATTGTATCCGTCTAGAGAAACAGTCTCAGGCAAAATTATTTTAATGGCCCTACGATGTACAGTGCAAATCGAATTCCATAATTAGAATATATATGGCATACTTCCGTTTTCAATAGACAATTAAGAAGCTACCTACACCTCATCAAATCGCTCACTATGCAAATCTTGAAATGCCAGTCTCAAATACATTTCTCAAAAGAAAACCTTGACTCCTGGTTAGATTTGGTGTACCATACTGCTATTCTTTTGCAAGGATTTCGTAACGCGCATAATCTATATTTTTTACACCTGTTCGCCAACTTAAACATCGCTCACCGACGATCTCCGACTCGTTGATTTAAATGTTGGCTTCCCTCATGCTCATTTATCAAACATTCGTAAATCGCAGCAGTGGCATCCAATAAGTATTGCCAGTTTTTTCCAAATCTGCAAACATCAACTTCAATTAATTACGGCCGTCCTCCAGTATCCTTACATGAACTTACCAGCGAAGGCTTGTCTTGCTAAGAGCGGAGAATATGCTACACAATTGGGCAAGTTTCAAGACCTCTGTGTTAGGCACCTTGTCCTGCTTTCAAATGAGTAAAATGGATGTGAATTCTACTCTCTGACCTCAAACACTTTATTTTTTTATGATAACTCCTTTCACTCTTTAATTTGCACTGCACAACTAGATCACAAGACATCCATGGTAAAGCTTTTGATCATTATTGATCTGCAATTCTGATTGATTTTCCCTTTTCGGGTACTCAGCTCTGACTATCACGGCTCGTCTCCCTCTACAGTCAATGTCTATACCTCATCTATACTGCGATACCCTCCAACGGTACTCTTCCTGCTCCCCGATTGTTATCTACTTCTGTACGGCTGAGTTCTTCTTAATTCCCCACTAATAGTCCACTTTTGTTTTAGTCTTCTTACAAATAAGTGCTTAAGAGACATTTTAAAATACCAAGCCACACGCTTCGATTTCTATCTTAAGTGTTTCCAAAATTTTAATTGAATACACTATATAAATTAATCATTTCCACTCTTAAAGTTATAACTTTCTAAAAGTTAAGGGTCCTGCAGATTTGAACTTGAGCATAAATAATTAATTTAACAAAATACTGTTGAAATTAACGTATCCGTAAAAAAAAAGTAAAGTAAAAGCCAAAAGATTATAGATTCATTTACTGAGTGGTTACTCATATAGTACTTTTAAACTAATAATTACAGTCATATTATATGGGTGTACACAGTCCAAAGCTATAGTATCATTATCAATATAATTTTTACAATCAAATAATATGTATACCTATGATTTTAGAAATATTATTTTCACTGTTTTGAAACAATCAATTCGTATAATTAACGTGATGCATAATTTCGATTTTATAATTTTTTTTAGTAGCGTTAAATTTTAGGGAAAAATTTTGGCATACATGATTATTAGTCATAGGAATTTTAAATTGGCTTTTTAATAATTATAAATAATTGGTGAGATCTGGGAGTAATTAAACAAATTTTAAACTTTTTTTGTTTCTTATCTTTTTTATTCTCAGCTTTCGGAAACAGAAGAACGTAAGTAGTAAAATTAAAGTAAAAAAACTGATTAGAAAATCAATTTTTAAAAAAGTCATATAATTTACTAGTTTGTGATAGCTTGATCTAGAGATATAATTTACTAAAATATAATTATATTAAATTTCAGAATCATCCGGATATTGCTCTTCTGTCAGTCAAGGAGATGATGGAGCAGATGATAGTTTAGATGAAGATAGCTTTCAATCTCCTTTAACATTCCCCACATGTAGGTATCAGATGATGTAAGAAAGGGGGATTGGTACGGAAAGGGGAAGTCAGTACCAAGACAAATATCGACCTACTATACCGTGTGCCGAAGTGGCACAACTAATGTTTGAATAAATGCACTATGTAGAAGTTTCTAGACAATAACATGTGACCTTTTAAAGGAAAAACGATATTTGTAAATTTATGTTGCCGTTCATGTGTATTTTCCTCATAAAGGCACATTAATTAACATAAAAAATTCGATCCTCATTCGCCAAGACCAAAAAACAATCCACAATAGTGTCATTACATCATCGAATATCGCATATCTAGCTCCAACAAGTATTGTGCAACATGTATCCTGAGTGAAAATAGCAAAAATGTCATTAAAAATCAGCCAATGGACGTATTTTTTTAATAAATGCGTTGTCAAAGATTTCGTTGTAGACTCCACAGAAGCAAACCCAGTCTTTTATTAAAAATACAAGCGTTATTCTAATTTTTCTTTTAAAAAAAACTGATCAAATGAGAGAAAAATAATGCCTAACTATTAATACCCTTCCCTCAGTTGAACATTTTAACAATAACTGCTCCACATGATATTCTTTTAAATACAGAGAACACATGGCGCTATACATCGTTGACTGACAAACGCATATATGCCTCCAAGCTGAGACAGTTTCTGTATTTTTAGTTTTGGAACATTCTGTATCAATTTTAGTTTTCTATTTCTTTTTTAAAAAATGTATGTGACTTTATATCTTTAGGTTTTAGAATTTATCAACAAATTGCATTACCGAGAACAATTAATCTACGTGATTACTAGGTATCCACTATTTTGCTTTAACCGCGACTACTTAGCACAGTTTATTGCAAATGTTAAAAGTCCTACTTCTAATACTTAAAATTACGTGTTTCTTTTTTGTTAATATTTTGAAGAAATAATATCATGACCAACTATATTGTGAAATTTCACGTATGCTTAGTTCCTCTTGGAGCAGCACGATCTCTGTTGCATCATTGTCATGTTTTCTGTTGGAATCAAGAGCGATGTTGGCTACATAATGGATCGATTTATAAAGATATAGACCAAGAAAAGCAAAAGAGGGAATATATTTATTTCTCCTAATCGACATTTTTTTTTTTAAAGTTCGATGAGTAACACCACTGAACAGCTATATCATTTAATGCACATGTAACATTTATCAAAAACAATATTTAAATTAATGACTCCTTATCTTTTGTGCAAATTGTTTAAATATTTATTCTTTACCACGCTCCAATTGTGCTGTTTAAAGTTTTTGATTCTGGCTTTACTCTGTCTGTGAGTGGTATTAGCGAAACGTCGTCCATATCTTCATTCTACCCTGATTCGGTAGATAAAGTAGAATCTGCAGGGAAAGTTGAGATCTGTCAAAAATATTTATTACATAAATTCATTCTAGAGCACTGAAAAAGTGAATATAAAAAATATTTATTTTGATCTAGCTCAGCTCCTGCTGTTCCCAAAACAAAATAGTAAAATTAAAATTAACTAATTTAAGAATCTTTAATTGTCTATGCCCTTGTAGGCTTTAAGTGATCTGCATTTCAATGCTCTCTGATGTTTATCTCGAACTCTTCAAATCTTTATGGTAGAATCACATAGCCTTCTTGCCAGAAATTACTGTTATTTGCTTAATTTGCAACAAAATGGCATGCAGTTGGTAGTATTTGTGTTTATTTTTGGTGCAGAAAGGGATAAATTATGATTTAAAATGTAATTCAGATTGTTAGGCATAACATGGTGTTTGATTCATGCAAGGATTTCTTCTGTGGAAGTTTTCCTGTTCTAACTTTAATACAAGCTATATTTTTTTGTACACATTATTCTTATCGCAAGACAAATGTAACTATTATACAGTTTCATCATGCGTGTTAAGATTGGATTTTCTTGTCCATAGGACTTGGCTTCTTACCTTTATCACTGAAGTGGAAATGCAAGGACTTTCTAACGATAGTAGTTTTTTGACAAAAATCTTAGACTCGAAGGAATGACAGATGAGATACCTAGAAGTTAGCATTATCAAATTTTTCAACAATATTAAATCTAATTATGTTGGTCTGTTCTGTTGTATTTCCTCTGATATATAATGAACGTGTTCGAACATCGTTGCCTTTCACATTGTGTATGTTTCTCTAGTCGCAGTATATACTTGTAATAGCACTTGACATTCGTAAACTGGGTCTTGTGCTACTCACAGTCTAAAGTCTTGATATTTGCTTTCGGAATCCCAAAAGTGTAACTTTATGTTGTCTATTTCTCAAAATTTGGAATATTTTTATTCTCATAATACGATTTTTCTTTTTATAACTTATTTTGTTCCTACATCCGTGTTTAGAAAAAAAAATGATTTAATTTTTAAAGATCATGACTTCTTATGAAAATTAGAATTCGGTTTAAAATAAAAACTGAAAAACAACAACAAAAAAAAACAAAAACAAATACACGTCAACCAAGCATTTCCTATAGCCTAAAGCACTGTGGATATGTAGAAAAATGGAAAACTATAAATTATATGATATGCAGCGCATTCTAATTACACTTACGATAACATAAAATAGAATCTCCATTTATACAATAGTGTTGCTCTTGCATGTAGGTTAATAGTTAAAATTATATAATTAGTATATTAAATTAGCTTTCTAAATAATACATTAGATTTTAATCGATTTAAGAAGAGTCTAAGCACGCTTTCGGTTATTTCAATGTTATTAAAAGGAAAGAGTACAAGCCCTGGTATGAAAAAAAGTTTTGTTAGCAGAAAAAGAAAATTGTACGAATAAGAGAAAAATTGTATGGCTGTTCGCAAATTAAAAGTTGTATGTAAGACAAAAGGGTGTAGACCATATGTGTCAAACTCAAAGCCCGCGGGCAACACTGGTCCGTCGTACCATTGTGTTCGGCCCGCAAGGTCTTGACCGGCATACAATTATATCCAAGTCGACACCATGGTGTTTCCCAAATGCACACTTTGCTGAAAAAGTTAGCTTACTTCGTGCCGGGTTCATGCGACGCTTTAATGACT